GTAAAAATGATTTAGGAGTCACCCCCTCATTGAAAAGTAGCAAAAATATAGTCAAGAAAAACATTTGTTTCTTGAAAAAAAAAAGAAAGGTAAGTATCAAAGTACTATGTCCAAGTGTCAATACTTGAAAAAAAGTAAACCGCCCAAAATATACGAAAAATTATGAATATCAATTTCATATAATTCAGAAAAATGGATAAATCGCAAAATGATTTACTCCAGATAACTCTAGTCAGTAGATTATTGCCATCAGAATGAAAACAAATGATCAAAAGTTCAAGTACAGTCAAAAATTCAAAAAGTAAATACATTTGGGGAAGGCAAACATAATTTTGAAAGTAAATTTCCTACGTACCAAACATCATGAGAGCTATATCAGTACACCAGAGATCCAACAATTAGGCTATATATGCGTACATGAAAAGTCTCAAGAAATCAAAAAACTGCACATGAAGAAATACTTTCAAAAACTAAGAGGTTAGTGATCAAAAATGAAAAGCATATAAGAATATGTAAACTATCAACAACAATAGTCACAACCTCAATCAAAAGTTTGATGATATTCGACAAAAATGCTGGGAAACCTAAAGTCCCCAGACTATCAATATTCAACAACAAAAAAATATCAAAATATCATCAATCTCAAAAGTACAATGAGAAAAAAGTTATAACTGTCCCCAGCAGTAAATAAAAACTGTAGTAGTATGTGAGAAAAAAATTCTGGCAATGATCTCGCTGACTACTAAACAAGACAATTTAAAAGTTAATAGTATGCCTATGAAATAAACAGGTGGAAAAATTTTAATCTTTTGATAAAAATTTTAAACATTAAGCAAAAAGTAAGGATGATTAAGGAATTAGAAATTTGAGTACCAAAAGCAATTAAAAATAGAAATGCTGCCAAAGATTGTAAAGAATTTTGAAAACTATGTTCTGTCTGCCAATCTTCCACTAGCAAACCACTTGTCGACAAAGCCAAACACCTATCGAAGCCTCACGTTGCGGGTGCCAATTTATGTAACGCTTCCTTTCCGCAAAAAGTCCAGAAAAGATGGAATGCAATGAAGATTCCAACTTTTCTGCACAATCACAGAAAGGGGGGTTACCATTAGCTTCCGGTAGCTCAGTCGGTGGCATGAAGACATCTACAGGCGTGTAGCTGTGTGTCGACCATGGCATGGCTAGAGGATAGAAGAACAAACAGAACACAAAAATTTAACAGATTTTATTTAACAAAAAAAAGGCATTTTCATTACATTACAATTTTACAAAAATAACAAAATAAGTTTTACATCTTTGGCGCTGCTATAACGCTATCGACTTATCTTTCGCTGGTCCATTTTTACTCGACTGAAGCCAGGATGGCCAGGGGCTTGAAGGGGAGGTCCCAGTTAAGAGGGGTGACCTCCATATAGTGGCTTCACAACCAGTTGTAGGCGAAGTTAAAGGCGATGGCGCTGCCAAGGTACATGCATGGGTGAAAATATTGGCCAAGGCTAGGCAAAGTGAAAGGGAAAGAGAAAGGGGGTGGCCCCAATCATTTTTGTCCTATACGGACACACATTCTAGAAAATTCTAGCACATGGTGCTATATAACCTTGTGCTACAGAGAAGAAATTTCTAGCCGTTGTTCGATCGGCGGCTCAAGTGAAAAAAAAGCGCGAGGAAGATCGCAGATCAGGAACTCCGCATCAAGCGCTCCAAGCGGAAAATTTTCCAAGCAAAAAAGCTAGAGATGGGATTAATGAAATGATAATCGAGAAGTGATTTAATAAATACGATCGGACGGTGAAACCGTTACAATTTGTGAGATAATAGTTGTGGCAAGTACATGGAGTGTTTTGCGTATGCTTTTGATTCACAGATTCGGCATGTGGTGCAGTGGGCGTCGAGAACGTCGCAGCCGTCAGGAAGGCCATGAAAGAAACGATAAATTTTGGCGAGCCGCTGCCGGTCACGAAGGGGTACTGATGGGTAGTTGCTGCTCTGTGTGCACATCGTCCTTGGATAATCTGCCGCTCCGAAATTTCGTTAAATCGTTGTGCTATTATTATTGTTGTTGACACAGGTTGATTGGTGGAAAATTAGTATTTGACCATCCGTGTTTCTAACAATATTGAATGCTGCTTCCAAAAGCATCCCTAAAGCAAACATACAACCTGGTAAACCTATAGTACCCTGGTGGGATCAACAGATTGAAGAAGCCATTGAAGGCAAGAGTATAACTACAATGTCTTCAAAAGAAACCCAACTCTGGCAAATATGATGAAATTCAAACAAGCCAGAGCTGGAGCACGGAGATTGATGTTAGCAGTCCAATGAAATTCTTAGCAAAAACATTTATCTGACATCACTTCAGAGACTCCAAGCTCATATGTATGGAAGAAAATCAAAACCATATCTGGCAAACGCTTTGCCACACCTTCCCCAGTGTTGCAAGTAGGAGGAAGAGAAGTTACGGGCACTACAGACATAGCCAACACGCTAGGCATGCACTTTGAGGAGATATGTTCCAACGACAACCTAAGCCTTGGGGCCTATCAAAGGAAGCTAGAAATTGAAAGCAATACACTTGATTTTAGTGAATCTAACAGATCGGAATATAACAACAATTTCACACTTACCGAATTCGAAAATGATCTTCAAGACACTAACGACTCCTCCGCTGGCCCGGACTCCATCCACTATTGCATGATACGCAACCTACCTGTAACAGAAAAACAAGCAATATTAGAAATGTTTAATAAAATATGGCAAACTGGTACTTACTCAGATCAGTGGAGAGAATCAATAGTTATACCTATTCCTAAAGCAGACAAAGATTCAACAAAGCCTGAGAGCTACAGACCAATATCCCTGACCTGTTGTTTGAGCAAAATCCTAGAAAAAATGATAAGTCGAATATTAATGTGGTTACTGGAGACACGAAACCTGCTAATAAATTCTCAGACAGGTTTCACGCAGCACAGATCATCCGTAGACCACCTTATCCACTTGGGAACAGACATACAGAACAGTTTTGCCAACAGGAGCCATCTGATTACTATCTCTTTTGACCTGGAAAAGACATACGATACCGCCTGGGGATAGGGAGTCCTATCAACTCTCCAAGAATGGGGAGAATTCGGGGACGGCTGCCCACATTCATTGCAAGCTTCCTTGCAAGCCGGTCGTTCAAGGTGAGGCTGGGGGACAAAGTATCTCATACGTATCTCCAAGAAAACGGGATACCTCAGTGCTCCACCCTCAGCGTAATCTTGTTCGTAATAATTGCCAACAGCTTACTCCAGTACATCGATGAATCCTTTGGCAAATGTATGTATGTGGATGATTTAACCATATATTACTCGGCAAAAGAAATGGTCACGATGGAAAGCAAACTTCAAGAGACCATCAACGACCTGGTTGAAACTGCTAAAAGAAATGGTCTTAACTTTTCTAGGTCAAAAACTGCAATAGTCCATTTTTGTCAGCTAAGAACAGCACATAGGGAACCTGCATTAACCTCGAAAGGAAACTTAATCCAATTCAAAGAAACTCATCGGATCCTAGGAGCAATCTTTGATCGTAAACTGACTTAACGTAATAAAATGCGTCTCCAACATAAAATGGGGCGCGGACAGAGATGTCCTACTGACGGTGTACAAATCGCTGGTAATGTCAAAAATGGAATATGGTATTGTAGCTTTTGCCGCTGCCAGAAGATAGCATATACGTACCCTAGAAGTTATTCATCGTGAAGGATTAAGACTGCTTAGGTGCGTTTCGCAGTAGTCCATCCAGCTCGATATACTGCGATGCGAATATTCCACCGCTTGATTTACGCATATCGCAGTTAATGCTTAACTATAGAATTAACGTATTGACTCAACCATCTCACCCAAACCACGATATCATTTTCAACAATGATAGCAGTGAAGAATATGACAACCGACCTACTATTACAAGACCATTCGGAGTCAGACTATCATAGATTATAAACGACCTTGGCGCTGTTCTTCCTGACACATACAATAAGAAACCAAGTGAAACTCCTCCATGGATCGACACCAGGACAAATATTATACTAGACTGCGCTATTTATCCAAAAAACATAACATTGGGATATGTTTATCTCTTCAATGAAATAACAATTAGATATAATACACCTGAAGTTATCTACACAGACGAAGCGAAAAATGAAAATGGCGTAGGATCAGCTTTCACCACCCTAACAGAAACCTTTAAGTATAGTTTAAATCCTATTCCTTCCGAGTTGTATGCCATCTCGGCAGCTCTTAAATACTTGCTTGACAAAACAACCCGGTGTAGTACATACATCATATGTACAGATTCAATGTGCGCCCTTCAATCTATACGAAATCAACAAGCTTAGAACCCCCTCGTCCAGCAGGTGATTAATAGGTGCCATAAACTAGCGCAGAATTCGAACATAGTCGTATTCAGTTAGACTCCAGGGCATGGAAATATTCCTGGCAACGAACTAGCAGATGCAGCAGCTCGTGACTCGACCCAAAATGGAACCCCCGTGAGCACCCTACTTCCTGAAGACCTAAAAGCCCATTTCAAGCTCCAGCTACATCAGCTTTGGCAAAATCAGTGGAGCCAAAGTATAAGTCGTTTGAGGATACTACAACCTACAATCCAGAAATGGAAATATCCGACAGTCCTAACTAGACGAGAACAAGTTTGTCTTACAAGAATAAAGATTGGACATACTCACCTAACTTCATCACATCTTATCCTAGGGCGAAGCCCAATACTATGCGATGAATGCCACTGCACTCTGACCGTAAAACACATCATCCTGGGGTATTCAAAATATAACCCTAAACGCCTAGAATGTTTTATACCAAGAAACCTGACAGAAACATAAACTACTTACTGAACTTCTTGAAATCGACAAATATGCTACACAAAATCTAAACAAAAGATCTTCCAATATAAAAATGTTAAAATATTAGGTCCAACATAAATATCTGGAAAAATATGTATATGTGTATATTGTTAGATTCTATTTCAAATATCTAACCTTGGCTCTCCCTATAACACTGTTTGGTCGCTCACGCATGTGCGCCCAAGAACGGCGCGGGAGAAGACGTACCTACTGCCGCGCCGGGCACCCGGGCAGACACTGCCTGACATTGACCGTGAGTGGTCGTAAATTGTAAAAATCTAACATCAGGTGTGGGTTACACGTGTACTTTTCGTAAACGTTTGGTACTCTGTGAAGTTTTGTGGTTGTGAAAGACATTATGGCAGAAGAGTTGGCAAAGCCTCTAGGAGCAATTGCATCGATTTTGGAAAATCTACAGGGGAAGGTGGATGACAGTGGAACACAATTTTCTGCACCTGTTATCCAAAAAACTCCTATTTCTTTGGCCTTGCTCAGTTTTGATCCGGACAGCACCGATAGCCACGTATGGTTACAAAAAATAGAGGGATATAAAAATGAATTTGGTTGGTCTGACCGGGAAACTGTAAGTAGAATTGGACCTTTTCTATTAAAATCTGCACAAGGGTGGTTTTCTGCATGGCAACCTACTGAAGAACACATGGGAAAATTTCAAGATTGATTTTTCCTAAAATTTCCTAAACAGAAAAATCTAGGTAAGCTTCTCAGTGAGGCAGTAGGCTATCATAGCTCAGAGGCCTGTAGTTGCGTCGAATATGCTAGAGTCAAACTCGAAAAGTTGAAACGCACCCGAGCTAGTTGGGTGGATTTGGATTTGATAGAGATTATCGCACATTCGATAGATGATGCCGTTGTAAGAACTGCTGCTTATAATTGTGGCGCGTCATCTGTAAGTGCTTTGATTGCATTCCTTGATAATTATATAAAAGTTCCATCATTCGATAAAATGTCAACACATCCAAACAGTCAGAGTGATGACCTTCCACGAAAAAACTCCAAACAAATCAGTTGTTATTCCTGTGGCAAAATAGGCCATTTTTCTCGAGAGTGTAAAAGTAAGGCATTTCCAATTCACAGCAACAAAGATGCAAAAATGTTCCGTCGTTACTGCAAAAAACCGGGCCATGAAATATCTCGCTGTTTTCGTCGTCAAAACAAACGTGCTCGAGACAGTGGCGGCGAAACCAGTGTAGATAAGAAATTCAAAGGGGAACAACTTTTTCTTAATTCTCATGCTTCTGAGCTCGGTAGATGTTTGAAGACGTTGACAATTGTAATATCAGGTTATTGTACAAATTGTTTAGTAGATATGGTTCGACATGTTCATTAATTAGTGAAACGCTGGTTGAAAAATTGAACCTTAATAAAATACCGCATATCACAGCGTTACAGTGGTTTGAGGGTACTACTATTAATTCTTATTTTGTTACAAATGCCTTAGTGGAAATTTCTGATGCAAAATTGAAACTTGATTTTGTCGTAGTACCACAAAATCATTCTAAGTATGATGTTGTTATAGGTGAAAACGTCTATGAAAATAACGTAACTTTAATCAAGGATAAAAACGGGCAACAAATTTTTTGTGAACCTATACCCATCAATACCACCTATGATAATCTAGGCCCAGAAGTAGTTACCGATTTGGACTTTCATGATAAAGTAAGGCTACTTGAATCACTTGAATACTATTCTCAGATGTTAACTACCTCCGGCAAGCTATTCCGTGTCGTAAACACTGGCGAGTTAATTATTACTCTAACTGAAAACAAAACTATTTATCATCACCCCTACCGTATGTCGGAATCTGAACGCCAAAATGTACGTGAAATCGTTGCTGATCTTCTTGAAAATAAAATTATTCGTGGGAGCAACTCTTCTTCTGCAAGTCCGATAATCTTGACAAAAAAAAGGGTGGTGGCACTCGTCTTTGCGTAGATTATCGCTCTCTTAATAAAATTACCGTTAAAGATCGCTAACCTCTTCCCCGCATAGATGACCAGTTGGACCGATTGGGTAAAAATGTATATTTCACATCACTTGATATGGCTTCGGGATTCCACCAGATACCCATTCACCTTGAATCAATTTCAAAAACTGCCTTTGTGACACCGGACGGCCAATATGAGTACCTGAGGATTCCATTTGGTCTGGCTAATGCACCCGCCGTCTTCCAACGGGCCATTAATAAACCTCTAGGTAAACTTAAATATGATATCGCTATTGTTTACATGGACGACATCGTTATACCGTCTATTACAGTTGCCTAAGGGATGCTCAGATTAAAATTAGTTTTTGATGCATTGCTTGAAGCAGGATTCTCTATAAATCTCAAGAAATGTCGTTTTTTCATGAAGAGTATCACCTATCTAGGGCGAGTAATCTCAGCTGATGGTATCCAACCTGACCCTAATAAAGCTAAAGCAGTCAAAGAAAGTTTAGCCCCCACTAATGTGAAGCAGGTTTTCCAATTTATTGGATTGGCCAGTTATTTACGAAAATTTATCCCTGGTTTTTCTTCTAGAGTAGCCTGCATAACTAATCTAACCAGGAATAATGTTGACTTTGCTTGGACGTCAGAATGTGAACAGGCAAGGCGATACATTATTGATGTCCTAACAGAAAAACCTCTATTGTCCATATTTCATCCTTCTTTGGAAACACAGTTGCACACAGACGCCAGCAGTATCAGTTTTGGCGGCATTTTGTTACAGAAACATGGGAATACTTTCCGCCCAGTTGAATATTTCAGCCAGAAAACATCCCCCGAGGAAGCTGTTTACCATTCATTTGAACTAGAGACTCTGGCTGTCGTTAGGGCTCTAAAAAACTTTCGAGTATATTTACTTGGCTTAAAGCTCACTCTTGTTACAATTCCCTTAAGTTGTCTGCAGATAAGGACCTAAAACCACGTATAGCGCGCTGGTGGGCTTATATGCAAGACTTTGACTTCGAAATGGTCTACCGAAAAGGTACCGAAATATCTCATGTTGACTTCCTTAGTAGAAATCCGACACTGTGGTTCAAGTTAATTTAACATGTGATGATTACAAAAACTGGCTTACTTTTACACAAAGTCGGGACCGGGAGTGCAAGCAAATCATTAAATCTTTAAATGATAACGAGGTAGATGTCATCCGAAAATATAAATTCAAAAAAGGTACATTGTTTCCAATTATTTCAACTGAAACCAACAAATCTATAGAATTACTACCGTTTGTACTATCTAATAACAGATATAATCTTTTAAAAATATTCCATGATGATCAGTGTCATGTAGGTTGGGAAAAACACTTAAATCACTAAAACTCTACTTTTGGTTTCCTCATATGGCTCGGTACGTTAAGAAATATGTTGAACATTGTTTACTATGTGCTGTTCGGAAAAATCGAACTGGTCCAAAGCAAGGCTTCCTCACCTCTGTACCAAAGCCCAACGAACCATTTCATACAATCCATGGTGATTGTCTTGGTCCTTTACCTGGAAATTCAAGCAATTATAAGTACCTATTTTTGGTGGTGGATGCTTTCTCAAAATTCTGCCTTCTCTACCCCCAGTTCACTGTTACGTCCGAAGAAACCAGACAAAGCTTTGCCAACTTCATCAGTATATTCGGAATCCCAGCAAAACTAATCCACGATGCTGGCACTAATTTTACCGCTAAAAGTTTCAAAGCATTTACCGAACACTTTGGTATCGAGGTTCACGTGACAACCCCTGGTGTACATCGCTCCAACCGCCAAATAGAACGATACATGCGAACCATAACAAACTTGCTGAGAATTGAATCAAAGATATCGTCACATTGGCCGAACAATCTTTGGAAAATCCAACTAGTAATGAACACCACAAAACAGAAGACCACTGGCTATTCACCCTTTAAATTAGTTTTTGGTCAGGAAGGACAAACTCCTCAGATTCGTACAGTCTTAGCAGATTTACCTACTCCTGAAGCCACTAAAAATCCAATCCATTCTACCACCGTTCTTAAAAAAATGAAGAAAAATACTGAAGAACAAGTTATTTCCCTCAACAAGAAGCGTAGGAATAACCAGTCATTCAAAGTTGGTGATGCTATTTTGTTAAGCCGAGGTCAAAAAGGCAGAGAAATTTACACGCGAATTCGTGGGACCCTATGTCATTAAACAACTATTAGCTAATGACCGATACTCAATTCAAAAACTGGGCTCGAGAATGACTCTTAAGTGTTCAAAGGACTAGTTGCGCCACTGGCCAATCGAGTAGACTCCTGAGGATTTCCAAAATCAGCTAGAATTAAATGATTGTAAGTAATTCATTTTATTTTGATCAATCTATACCGTGTTAGATTGTTGCTAGATTGTGTAACAGACAGATCTTATTAATCTATGACCCATCGTAAATATGTGGACATTGCAATATTTCCATCGTGTCATTCTAAAACCCTGATATTTAATGACCAATCGTAAATATGTGCATATTGCAATATTTCCATCGTGTCATTCTAAGTCCTGATATTAAATGACCCATCGATAATTCGTGCATATAGCAGTATTCCCATCGTGTCATCTGATGAATTCCTGTTATAACAAAAAATTAGTTGTTGGTGTTGAATCAGCAGTATTTTCATCGTGTCATCGAATGAAATCCTGTTACAAAAGACTATTGACTAACGGAGCAGTCTGAGTAACGCTCTTCTTTTGCTTATTTCAGCAACTACCAGCGAAATAGACGAGCAAGCTAAATCTCGACTATCAACCTTTGGAAGATGATGTTCAATAATAATCATGGCTTATAAGTACCTACATGCTGAGTAGGCATATATACCATAGTCGAAGTGTTCACAATTTTGTAACTAGTTATCCATGTATTTTTGTAATTAGTTATCCAGGTATCTTCGTAATTTTGTAACCAATTATTCATGTTCCTTCTAAATCTCTTTATCGTTAGATAATAAAGCTATTTACTGTTAATTTGCCCAGAATTATTATTGTCATGAGGGCTATACATTCCGAGAGCGGAATGATGTCAGTTTGGCCGTGCTAGATTATATTTCAAATATCTAAACTTGGCTCTCCCTATAACACTGTTTGGTCGCTCTCGCATGTGCGCCCAAGAACGGCGCGGGAGAAGACGTACTGCCGCGCCGGGCAGACACTGCCTGACATTGACCGTGAGTGGTCGTAAATTGTAAAAATCTAACAATATAGAAAACGATGAATCCAATGTAAGAATGCATTATTAACGCAACTTACCTGAATTTTGTCTGGCACATCAAATATTTTACTAGGAACAGGTCAAACTTAATACTGTAGTAATTTACTCACGGTAAACACTCAGTTTTACATCTATGCTTGAATTAAGTGAATGGAATGATAACTGAACAATGAATTATTTATACTGTATGTTATTGTGTGCGTTCTATATATTATCCAACTCTCAGATCTATCAGGTTCAACTTAATGACCTCATACGGTAGGAGGGAAGTGGCTAATGACCATAGTTTTCGACGCCCCGGTGGGTTTAAAATAATAATAATAATAATAATAACGATAACGATAACGATAACGATAACGATTAACGATAACGATAACGCTAACGATAACGATTAACGACTAACGATCAACGATCAACGATCAACGATCAACGATCAACGATCAACGATCAACGATCAACGATCAACGATCAACGATCAACGATCAACGATCAACGACCAACGATCAACGATCAACGATCAACGATCAACGATCGGCGATCGGCGATTGACGATGACGATAAAGATAAAAAAAAGGAAACAAGAATAACAAGAATTGGCCACGGGTCTCATTCGTACGCCTTTAGTGGTGAAAGTTCCAATATTACATATAATTAGGTTGAAAAGGTGGAAATAAAACTTTCAACTATAACGTTCTGATGAATATAGTACGCTCATCAAATGGCGTCACTCTACCGGAGTTGAATATCTTTTGTCTTTGCAAATGTGTTCTTGCCTTGAGACGGTTTTGTTAAAATTCTTTAAAAAATAAAATACTCGTCATTAAAACCGAAACGCAACAAATATGTAGAAAACAGATAAGCCATTGGAATAACAGCACCTTCATATTACGGGAGTGTATTTTGAGTATATAATGGAGTACCTCACTTGACCTATAATAACCCTGCGTGGTTGATGAAGTATTTGAGTTTTCAATTAAGAAATACCAAATCCCCCAACAGATTTTCATCAAAGTTTGAGATCATATCTTGAAAAAGAGGTATCACTGGACATTTATGTGAACTTCCTCACAATCACCCATTTCTGTCCAAGTACTTTGTTAACACCATATATAACTTTGTTCCAGTGCCATTACAAGTGTTACACCCAGAAAAAATAGTTTATTCAACTTGTTTTTTGGCAACATAGTGAATGTATACTAAGTGACATATAAATCCGAACACCCAGTTTAAATGGTTTTATTTTAATAAAATTTTGTATAAGTACTTAATGAAGCATAATAAGTAAATGATAAAAATTTCAAAATGATTGCACTGCTTTAAAGCCCTTTGACCTTTAATAATGTGTGGATGCACCCTGATATGCTACGCATTCTCCAACGCGCCTAGGCATGCTTTTGATCAGGTGGTCAATGTCCTCCTGTGGTATCTCATTCCAGGCAACCACCAACTCCTCTCGAAGTGCTTCTAGAGTCTGAGGAGGACGTTGCAAATTGAGCAATCTCCTACCCATCATATCCCACACGTGCTCAATTGGGGATAAGTCGGGAGATCTTGGTGACCATGGTAACAATGTGACATCATTATGTTGAAAGAAGTCTATTGTGACTCTTGCAACATGTGGTCGGGCATTATCGTGTTGGAAAGTTGGACCTGCCAGGGTGTCAAGATAGGGTAAAGGATGGGGTTCTAGAACTTCGTGGATATAACGCTGCGCGTTCATGTTACCTCTGATGAAGATTAAAGGTGACCTGGAACCATAAGCTATAGCACCCCAAACCATAATCCAACAGTGTGATGAACATGTCTTTCAACAAAAAACTGTGGATTCCTTCTTTCACCACGTCGCCTTCTAACCCTGGCACGACCATCGTGCATGCCTAAACAAAATCGAGACTCGTCACTAAAGACAATACTGTTCCATTCCTGATCCCAGAGTGACCGTTGTCTCCACCACTCAAGGCGATTACGTCGGTGTTCTCGAGTTAAAGGGAGGACCCAGTGTGGCCGGTATGAAAACAAGCCAACACTTTGCATACCAATAGGTCTTTCGTGTTCTGCAAACCATTCATTTGCAATGGACCTGGTAGTGGAGAAACGGTCCCTTAAGGCCAATAATCTTAGGCGGCGATCTTCACGGTCTGTTGTTCTACGGCGGCGTCCAGTGCCCCTTGCTCTTTGCGTACGGCCTTCTCGAAGCCATGCCTGACAACACCTAACCACAGTGTCTACACTTCTTTGCACTCTAACTGCAATTGCCCGAAAAGAAAGTCCGGCTTCCCGAAGTCCCACTGTACGGCCCCTATCAAACTCACTAAGTTGACGAAATCGTACAGGTCTCCGTACTCTAGGCATCGTAACCGATCATAAAGTATGTCAAGAACCAAAATCCGCCAACGTTGATTCTTTACTGCGGCTGAAATATTCATTTTTAG